TTGTAGCCGCTTCGGCGGGGCTTCCGAAGGGCGGTGCTGATCTGATGCAGTGCTGACGACGGAAGGTGGCCCCTGGAGAGACGAGGCGTCACGAGAGGTCGGGATGAAACGGTGAGTGAAGAAAGAGGGGCGGATTACCTTATCGTCAGTTGGACACCATCTCACAAAGCGCACAGCCTTTTAACCACAGCACAGCTATACCTACTACACAGCATTGGCTACGCTCAACACAAGTAGCTGTTTTAAGAAAGATGTGTTACAGCTGATATCGCGAGGGGTGCCGAACGGGGGCCAAAAAAGCGTCCACTCGCTCACAAGCGTGGGGGACTCATATCGACTTGCGTATCATGAGAACAGACTTAAACACTCTCAGTGTTCAAAGTGCTATTACACTTTTTCACAAAATGTTGATTGTGATAAACTTTCGCGCATGACAAGACTGAAAAATATGTTTTAGCGACCTAGACCTTTTTTAGCACTGCCGTGTGGGTAGAGAGTATGTGGGCGGTTTGTGGACACACTACATTGTATCCCATTTTTAAATGGTCATTTCAGTTAAGTTTAATATGCTTCTTGTCCTTACTGCGCTGCCTCCGCAGGGTAAAAAAACAAAATTGAACGCTCACTGAAGGCGTTAAAACACCACATGAACACCACATGACGTCATGTTACCACCAGTAAGCTGAGTTTGCGTATCAGATCTGTGTATTGAATGAGTGACATAGGTAATACAATTTACTGATGTAACTTTAACTGCTGTAATTGATAACAATCAAAGTGTGGCGGTTGGAGTGACTTAAAAACTGATCAAGTTATTTGCATCGATGCACTTCATTTAATTTTTAACAATGTTGCGCGGTTTCCCGTCAAATGCGCTATTATGGCAATGCGTACCGTCAATCATCTGGGTTGATGTTCCGGTTAGTGCTAGCCTGAGAGATTGTGACGAACTGGTAAGTGTCGGCTAAGGTGAATGCGACATTCCATGGTTGAATGGAAAAGCTGATATCAGATACCTAGAGCTGTTTCGACTCACATTGCTTCTAATGTATATGTAGCGCTTCGTTAATTAACTTTGTTGGTAGCTGCCGTCATGCGCTTCCATTTCGAGAAAAAAACTCCGAAATTCTTCTGCCCCGGGCCTTCTATTCACAACCCGCCTTCTCCGTACACCCAACCAACGCGAATCCTCCCCCCCCCCCCCGCAAAACTCGCCGGACGCCCACATCACCTCTGACAGCTCTTCAAGCCTTCGTGCGGAATGTCACGCGCTCGCCTATTGGTCAACACTTTCCCGTTTCGTCTGCCGACCCGTGAAACCAGCTGTTCACAAAACCCAGGGCATAAGTGGTGCTCAACAAACTACATCACCTACTGCACATCGCAAACAGCTGACTTCGTTCTTCGTCGAGAATGCACCTCACCATACCGCTACGCTTGGCCTTAACATCACCCTCACCTTAAACTAGACGTAGGGTGCGAAAATAACCTCACTTGGAAAAGCACTGTAACCCTGACTTCTGAGTTTACAATGTCACGGCACATCACAAAAAGCATAACCATCAAGCTTCCAGAAATCAGCACAATCTCCGCGTTGAACAAAATAGCCCTGCACTCCAAAACTCTTATTACGCAAAGGTCCCTGACCAGTCGAGGTACCGCCTCGGTCGTCGCACCTCACGACCGCGTCTCGTCCGCGCTGATCCAGTCGCCACCGGTACCGCCTCTTCCGTGAACTCCGTTCCAGGTGGCGCCACCGACGATTCATCGTCAGCTGCAGAGGGCACCACCGGACAGGGCGACTTCCGTGCCGCCGGCTTCGGCGTCGCCGCTTGCAGGTCTCGTACCACTCCGCCCAGGTCGTCCATCGGCTTCCTTCGACCATCCGCCTTCTCCAGCGCGTCGCTAGGCGCTGATGTCGTGTCGTCGACCGCCACGTCTCCGGCCGTCACCGCGACCGCTTCCAGCTGCTCCGTCTGGCTGAGCTCTGCGTCCTCCGCTTCTCGTTCCAGCTGTTCCCCACTCTCCGGCACTGGGTCCTGGATACAAACGAGTCCATCCAGTTGAATAGCCTCGGTCCCAGCTTCTCTTTGGCCGTCGTCGAAGGTCGTCGTTGTCGGCCCCTCTGTCTTTCCGGTCAGGTCATCCGCTCCGTTCCCTCCAGCACAGTTCAGTCCAGCGTCGATGTAGTCAGTTCCAGTTTCAATCTGCACAACGGCCATTTCTCTCTCAGATCTGGGCTTCTCTCCCTTTTTCAGATGTCCGCCGTGTACGAGCCGTTGTCCCCGCCCCTTAATCAGCAAGTAATGCTACAGTCGGGCCTCCAGTACGAGATATGGTCCCTCGAACTTTGGCTTCAGTTTTGCGGTCACACCTTGTCCTGCTGTGAAGTTACGACACCACGCTGTGTCGCCTGGCTGAAAGTTTGCCGGTCTTGCCTCGGTGCAAAGACTGCCCTCGCTGAATCAAGTCCAACTCCTTCTGATGCGTGTTTTTCAGATGATGTCTCAGCTTCACGAAGAGCTAGCGATGAGACTGGTTCTTGATGCTGTCCACGTCGAATTCGTCTTCCAGAACAGTTCGCATTGGTCTCCCGTAGACCAGTTCTCCCGGTGAGAATCCTGTCGCACTGTGGCAACCAGAGTTGTAAGCAGATGTCACCACCGGCAGCCACAGGTCCCAGTCGCGTTGGTTCTCAGTCACGTAGTGAGTCAGAAGTTCCAGCAACGACCTGTTGATTCGCTCCACTTGCCCGTTGCTGCATGGATGGTAGATTACCGTTCTCAACTTCTTCCCGCCCAGCAGCTGGCAGACTCTTTTGATGAGGACACTCTCGAAGTTCCGTCGCTGATCGGTCAGCAGTCTCCATGACGCCAAACAGGCAGATGACTTGAACGACGCATCACGCCACCTCTTCTGCAGTCTGTGTCTCTTCAATGCGAATGTTTCCACCCATTTGCTGAATTGGCCAGTTATGACCAAAACGTACTTGTGACCACGTTCGCTTTCCAATAATTCTTAGATGGCCGTTGACCAGTATAGAAACGGCTCGCCTTCTACCGGTACGGTTCCTCTTCCCTCCTTGCAGCCGGCATACTTCGGTTTCGTCCTCAGATAAGAAGTGCAGCTTCCGCAGTACCGCCTCACCTCGCGCTGTACGTTGTCCCAGAGGAAACCGGCTGTCAAACGGTGCAGTGCTTGCCTCACACCTCCATGTCCTGACATCTGGACGTCACGATCCAGATGCAGCGCTCTTTGTCTAACACTTGTCGGCAGGGTCACGTGCGCTCTCTGATGTCCCCTCGAGTTCCACAGGAGCACGCCGTTGTATAGCCGCAAGCCAGGCAGTCCGGTGTAGAAGTACAGTTCTGATTGCTGGGTGTCTGTCAACTTGTCCGTCTTCATTGGCTGCTTTTTCAGGTGACGATTAGACAATTCTGGCATGCCGCCACGCAGAAGCTGCTGTAGGTTGAGCACAAACAGACGAGGATGATCAGCCACCTTCGGCTTCTCCTCATAGAACCGGTGCAGCACCACCTTTTTCTTCTCTTTCGAGCAGAGGAGATTCCGGATGGTTTCGGCTGCCTCCTTCATGTCTTTTGGTTGGTTATTTTCTAATTCATCAGCCACCCAGCTTGTCCCATCTTGTAGCGGGGCCGGAAGACAATCGAGCTGTCTCTCTTCACTCCAGCTATTAGCGCGCGAAACCCGACGAAACTTCCTGAGAAACTCCTACGCGTCGTCTGTGTCCGTGCAGGTGGTCGGTGCTACTCCAGCAAACCCACTCCATCTACCTTGACTTCCGGTCGTCGCCATTACCTCACTCTTCACCGTCTTGTCCGGCTTCGTCGCCATCTTGATTTTTAGCCACAGACCCCGCGGAACAAGACCACAAAGAAGACGAGCAGTCTTATCACACCGCTGACGTAACGCTTCGTTAACTGTGTTGGCAGCTGCCGTCATTCGTCTCCATTCCGAGAAAAATCCGAAATTCTTTTGCCCCGGGCCTTCTATTTACAACCCGCCTTCTCCGCACATCAACCAACGCGAAATCCCCTGCAAAACTCGCCTGACGCCCACAAGACCTCGGACAGCTCTCCAAACCTCCGTAAGGAATGTCACTCGCTCGCCTATTGAGCAACACTTTCCAGTTTTGTCTGCCGACCCGTGAAACCAGCTGTTCACAAAACCCGAGGCATAAGTGGTGCACAACAAACTGCATCGCCTGCTGCACATCACAAACAGCTGACTTCGTTCTTCCTCGAGAATGCACCTCACATTACCGCTGAGCTTGGTCCTAACATATATTGTATGTTTTCCACCGTGCACAGTTGAAAATGCCGTGGCAAAGTTCTGTGATGAGTGAAGTGAGAATGCTGAATCCCAAAGTAGTTTTGTGCGCAAACTAAAAAACGTTGTGGGCTTGTGCCATGTGGTCAAAGTATCTTCCAGCATGCTAGGTAAAGCAGGGCCATATATTGGGCACAGGACCTGCCTCATTTGGTACAATAATGGTACCGATAAAAAGAAATCATTGAACCATTCCTGGTTTTGGCGTTAAAATAGGCCTATTGACTGACAAGAAGGACGTACACTTCAACTCCTTCAAAGCTTATGGCAGGCACAGTACGCTTGATTATAACAATGAACAAGCTGCACATTTAAGATCTGGCTTCCATTTTTCTGGCTGCAAATATGGTGAAGAGGACAGCTCAGGCCATATATATTTTGTGGGAGACAACCTCTATATATACGCAAGGCTTGTGTAATTAATGCTATTTAAGGTTCACATGGTTTCTGGCCAGCACGTCAACGCAAAAGCTTTTCTGATTTCCTCACACATATATCACGCCCCCATAAGGGACGTGCATGTGACGTTCGCTTTTTAACGTATATGTAGAGCATTGGGGAGACTGTATGACATACGAGCGTATCAAGGAAGCTGTCCTCGTTTTTAAGATTTCATCGCTGCACAATATGTAGACCTGCATGGCATAGCTTGTATTTCAACGAGACATAGCACATTTTAGTGAGGGCACCGCGTCCATTGGACTGATGGGAACACTATTTGTACGGGTCACCAATGCGGATGAACGCATCACATATTGCTACACCAGCGTAACGCGACTAAAATGCGGCTTTTCATGACGTCTGGACACACGCTAACGCGACACACGCATGATGTTCATGCTTCATCGCCACAAGCCGCGCACCGGGCCACATGCCTTTCAAGTCGACAGTACGCTTGCTTGACATTCTTCTGGTCTTCAGTTGACTTTGCCAGGTGAATTAATTAAAGAAGAGCTGTTGCCCCTGCTGCTGGTCGAACTGTTGCTGGTTGAACTGCTGTTGGTTGTTGAGAATGACGCCGGCTCCTCCGTTCTCGGCCCAGAACAGCTGCGGGTAGTCCCGCCTCAGCTGCTCGTACTCGGGGATCTGAGCTGGAGCCTGCGGCAGGTGGGCGCCCTGAGGCTGGAAGCCGTTCTCGTTGGCCACGTAGCTGACCTGGTAGGTGTTGCCGTCGTCGCCGACAAACTCGTAGCTGCCCTCCATGGAGATACTGCCGGTCTCTGGCTCGGGTCCTGGCTGCACTCGCCCCACCTCTTGCATCTGGAAGAAGCCACCAACGCGTTACATCATACTGTACAGGAACCTCTGCTGATGACTCCGTGAATACACGTCAATGCCTTGATACTCTTCATTGTACCATTCGGCCACGTTCCTGATTTTTTTTTCTCAAATGCAGGACCAAGAGCGTTAGGGTGCGAGAAGCAATTGTCGGACGATGTTGTGGTCTAGCGTCACCGTAGCACAGTTCATGAAATGCTTTATACTTGAACACTAGAGTGGTAGAGAGGTGCCATCCTAGTTTGGCAGTAACTATGGCAGTTTATAGTTGGCAGTTTGGTTACTAGTTTTGGCGAAGAGCCCAAACTGGTACCTTCGTCTGCCATTGGTCCACAGAGGGACGGGGTGTTAAAGATGCAAGATAAAGTATGTTTACCGGTAGCACTGATGCATGCAATGTATCTTTTTCAATTGTTGAATACATTGTGTGCTTATGTTGTCATCACACATCCTCCTCACCCGCTGTCCGTTGTCCTGTTCGTAGCTGTATTCGTAGTTGCCGACTTGATCTTGATCGGACTTCTGACTAAGGATCCGCACTTCCGGCTGGCCACTGCTGACAAATTGTTGGCCGTTGAAGTCCTGGTTGAAATCATTGAACTGCGGAGCGGCCGCAGCAGCGGCCACCAGAAGGGCGAATACGAACTGGAAAGGTGATATAATGCATTAAGCAAAAGTTTGCTGACAGCAAACTGAAAACATTGGCCAAGTTGAGCAAGACAAAATGATATTCTTTTCTTCTTCCGAACACGAACAGCGAAATGACATTTCAAAACACGTGTTTTCAACCCTAGGAACTCGCGAACTGCCTAAAATCTGTCACTGACGCCCTATACAAAACATAAGCGTCAACTTCTATGTAAGTTCACACCAGCTGTGGGCGACAAACAGTCCACACATATTGCGTTGCCAACAATACATATAGCACATTCTGCGCAATACGCCCTCCACACATTCCCCGCGAAGCAGCAGCTATGTGAAGCAAGTCGCAAAAAAGGTGCATGTACACACTTCATGGACCTAACAGCATCCGACCATCGCTAAGGTCCTCGCCATAGCGCTCCCTCCAAGAGGGCCCCCTGTCCGAGGCGAGAGCGTACTTACCATCTGCATGGTTGTGCGTCGAAGAGTGCTGGTCTGCGGTGGGCACCTGTCGGCTTATATCGCTCTCGTCTGTAGCCTGCGGCTCGGCGCCGTGGCCTTCGTCCACGCGCCGTCCGGCCGACCCGGGCTCCGGTATCAGTGGTTGGACCGATGGGCTGCAGGGAGGTCAGCTGTGACCTGGCGATGGTCCGCACTGGGGAGGGAAGTTGACCTGACCTGTCGGAAACGAAATGAAATGGCAGTTAGTCCTATGAAGCAGTGAAACGCAGACTGTTGAAAGGCACTTTGCTCCCGAAGACAAATGTTGAATGGATGGGCTTGCACATGGCGCCAAAACTATTTTCTAGCGCGACGGAAAAACTATCACGCAGTTTGTATTGTTGTATAGGTCTCATGTGAGAGCTGCTCAATGTCTTCCCCTTCTTGCATGTGTATTACGTAAAAGCAAGGCATTAGACGATGGTAAAAAGGCGCAAACAGTGATGCAGTTTTCTCTGCATTAGGATTCTGCATTAAACATTTTCCATGTTAATATTCGATTTGCGTAGCCTGGAGTGTATAGAATATATCTTATTAATGTATAGAATGTATAGAATATTAATGTAGGGAATGTATAGACTACATTGGTAGAATTGTTGAAAATACATTTTAGAAGGCTAACACCCCTTATAGACCTTAATTTCCTGATTGCAAATTCAACGTACCATAAAAGCCAAGCTTTAGTCGTGTATTTATCGTACTCTCACCTGCTCCAAATGTACCAACATGAGCGTTGCGCTGATAATTCAATTGTTCATCCCAGCACGGAATGGCTTCGTCACCATCCTACAACTTCCATATCACGTGGCATGCTGTGATTTCACGCAACCCCTCGAAAACTCAGTATTATATGGACTATAGATTGCCAGACAGACGTAAAAATCATCATCCGATATCCTATGCGATTGAAGGCGGCATTCACGGGGACCACTTTGGACAAGATCCGCGCTCCTATCGGGTCAGCGATCACTCGTAACTCGCTGTTGCTGCTGGCTTGCCACGAAACCAAGATCTGGGTGGGAGCGCTGGCACTGGATCGCTGGTTATCACAGCACCCGGTTCCCTAAGGCGGGCATAAAACCACGAATTAAACGTCTGGTGTGAATGTGTTTAAAGGTGAGGACTACTGCCCAATTGAGGTCAGTGGCCTATGAAGACTGTTTGGTGTAGTAGTACCACCTGCATGTCGAAACACGAGTACGTGTCGTCCAAGTGGCTGACAAAGCCACCCAGTTATGCAACCCGCTTGATCATGGGCTACGAACACTTCAAACCGAAAGACCAGTATAAAAGAGTGACCACGGTCAAATCAAAACGCCACGTGTGTGCCAGGGCGAAAGTCCCTGAAACGGTGAGCAAAGAAATAAGAAAATCACATGTCAGAAGGCTCTTAAAAAGAGCAGCGTTGAACAAATGCCATGTTCAACCACGTTTTGGTCGGACATTCCGTCGATAAAAACTATCTACGTCAGTAACTGGCATGCCCTAGACGCTTGAAATTTAGGCCAATGCTGCCATGAGCGTTGCATAATATCAGCATACAAGCAAGCGCATCATATATGAAGGTGGTCCCCAACTTTCATATAAGAAAGGCGGCAGGGAGCTAGCTTAATGATGGTTTTCTAGGCTGGTTAAATACGGTTAGTGTCAACACTGGCCAGTGGGGGGGGGGGGGGGGGGGAGGGGAGGGGGCAGGGGGCTGAAAGGAGGGTGCTGGCCTCAAGGGACCGTGATCATGTTTTCACTGCGAGTTATTACTGTGTCTGACAGTCTTAGTACGTAGGAACAAGTTCCATACATGCTTGAGTTATCGCACCTTCCATGGAGTTAGTCATTTTTCTCATAACCACCAATTACCAGAAAGCGGCTTAGGGGTCGTTATTTCTACGGATTTGAAGTGTGAACTGCAACGCGGGGCTGCTAGGAGCAAGGCACCTCAGGTGCACGGACGTATTGACAGGAATATCCATTACAAGGCTAGGAATGTTTTCAAAATATTGCACTTAGTTATGTCAGACCGCACCTAGAGTGTTGTGTACCGGCTTGGTCCCCATGCCCCCAAAAATATGTCAGAAGACTGGGAGTAGTACAGCAAAAGGAATGGGGATGGTAAATGTTGTTGGCGACTAGAATATAAGGAGAGGCTCAGAAACTTGGAGCTGTATTTGCTGAAATATCTTAGATTTAGAGGGGATCTAACAGACTTGCTCAAATTATGAAAGGTATAGAGAAGGTAGATGTTCATGGAACAATGAAAATTAGACCGAGACATAGAGGAAACCAGTTTCATTTGGCAAAAGGTAGAAGTAGAATTATAAAGACGCAGATGTCGCTTAGTGAAAAAGAGATAATTCATTGAAACAGGCCGTCACACGAAGTCGTGTAAAGTTGCTCTCCCGCAACATTAACAACTATTCGGACAAGATCTGTTGGTCTAAGTATCTCATTTATAGCTAGATTTATGCAGGTTAGGTTGTAAACTTTGTTTCGAGGATGTGTGCGGAACTGATGTAGGCCAACCTTGATGGGTCCTTGTGGCTCTTTGCTCGCCAGATATCTCCATGTCTTTGTGTCTTTATGTGAACGGGACTGAGCAAAATTGCAAGACTGATATCAAAACTAATTCTGTTTTTGGAATAACACGCTGCACTTGTATGTTTTGATAGGCGTGTTAAAATGTCAATAATCCATATTCAGTGAAGCAATCTCTGTGAATAAATTTGCTTTCAACGAAGCAGAATTCGAATGCGTGTGAACAGAACAATGGCGTTGTGTTTGCATATCTACCGGCTGCGTTTTTTAGAGTGCTATTTCATAACTTCACTATCACTTCTGTTTCATTTAACTATAGCGGTATTGGCTAGCAATGACCATTGTCAAAGCTGCGTGATCAGGGGGAGGGATGAGTAAGGGGGCAATGATGCGTCTATTTGGGAAAGCTCCAGAATACAGGCTTACCTTGCAAAGGGTTCCTTGATTAAGGCTTTTTTAACGGGTCCGGAGGGGCTCCCGAAGAACGGCACTGATCCGACTCATGGCTGGCGACCGTATGTTGACCTCCTGGCGAGACGAGGCGTTACGAGAGGCCAGGATGAAACGGTGGGTGAGGCAGGAGGGGCGGATTACTTTATCGTCAGTTGAACACCATCTCACAAAGTGCACAACCTTCAACCTCAGCTTAGCTATATCTACTGCCCAGTATTGGCTGCGTTCAGCACCAGCAGCTTTTTCAAAGGAAGATGTGTTAATGTTGATAACGTGAGGGGTCCCGAACGGAGTCGTAATAAACTTGCCCATCATGAGAAGAGGCTGAAACAATCTCGTTATTGGAGATTCTATTGTCCTTTTTCATAAAATGTTGTGTGCGGTGAGATCACACCGCATGACAAGACTGCAAGACAAGAAGGTGTTTTGGAGGCCTGGATCTTTTCCGGAACTGCCGTGTGGGTAGACAGTATCTGGGCGATTTGTGGGTATCCCATCGTTTATGGTCATTTGAGTTCAGTTTTAGATGCTTCTTGTCCTTTCTGCGCTGCCTACGCAGCGTAAAAGAAGCTGAACGTTCAATGAAGGTGTTAACTCAATATATAAACTTGATATGACGTCATTCTACCATCAAGCTGAGTTCCCGCATCAGGTCTGCGTATAAAATGAATAATACAAGTAATTCAGTTCATTATTATAACTTTGAATAATTTTGCCGTCGAGAAGGATCAGAACGTGGCAGACATCGCTATCTAAAAACTAATTAAGTCATTATCATCGTTGTACTTGCTTTCGTTCTTATCAGAAGTGCGCGGTTTGCCGTCACATGCGCCATTACGACATGCGGCATTGTCAGTCATCTGTCATCTGTCAATTTTACACAGGTGTATGTCCAACGATATTTGTACTGTGTATGGTTGTAAATGGGGCATGTGACCGAAGATGCTAAGATCCTATACTCTTGCAATTTCATCGTGTGAAGTTGTTCCGTTTATTGCAACTCGCACCTCACAGTGGAATATCAACGTCAGCCCGCAGTACGACGACAGCATTGCCGTGGCATTTCGTTATTTTATGTTTGAAAGACACTAAAAATCGGCAAGATTTGACAATATTTCGTTGCGGTAGCACCTGAGTCAAACATAATCTTACGCAAGGGGAGGGGGGGGGGGGGGGGGTGTTTCAAGGGACAGGTGGGCTGGTTGGTTGATTCAAAAGACAATTCCCACTAGATAGATTGAATTGGTGTCCCATGAAAACATCGGGTGTGCTTACATGGTGTGTTGATGCACGCAAGTAATGCATGATTTGGGAAACCCTTTTGTACAGTATGGATACCGGAAACATGTAGTATCAATATGAAGTTTTCACAATATGCGGCAAGGTTTATGTGCCACACCCACCTTTTCAGTGACATCAGTAAAAATAAATTATTGAACCATTCTGTGTTTGGTGTTGGGCATAATAAGCCTATCGACTGACAGGAAGGAGGTACACTAACAAGTCCCCCAAAGCTTATGGTAGGTAAAGTCCACTTAAGTATAACAATCAACAAGCTGCACATTTAAGATCTAACTTTCCTTTCCCTGGCTACAAATATGGTGAAGCTCAGCTCTTTATGGAGCACTCAGGCCATTTTTATTTCGTGGATGACAACCTCTGTATATATGCATGGTTTGGTGCAATTAATGCTATTTAAGATTTACATGTTTTCTTGTCCAGCAACTCACTCATAGCCTTTTTTCATTTCCTTCTATAACGCGCATATATATATATATATATATATAGATATATATATATATAATATACATAATGTATCTGTAAGGGGACGTGCGTATGATGTTAGCATTTCAACGCATTGTGTAGAGTTTTCAGGAGACTGCATGACGTGAGAGTCGTATCTAGGAAGATACTCTCGTTTTTACAGATTTCATTGCTGCACAATATGCAGACCTGCATGACATAGCTTGCATTTCAACGAGACGTATCACATTTGAGTGAGGGCACCACGTCCATTGGACTGATCGGAACACTATATGTACAGGTAACCAATGCGACTTCAACGCATCACATATTGCTACACCAGCGTAACGCGACTAAAATGCGGCTTCTCATGACGTCTGGGCACACGCTAACGCGACGCACGCATGATGTTTCTGCTTCATCGCCACAAGCCGCGCGCCGGGCCACATTCTGTTCAAGTCAACAGTACGCTTGCTTGACATTCTTCTGGTCTTCAGCTGAACTTGCCAGGTAAATCAATTAAAGAAGAACTGTTGCCCCTGCTGCTGGTCGAACTGTTGCTGGTTGAACTGCTGCTGGTCATTGAGAATGATGCCGGCTCCTCCGTTCTCGGCCCAGAACAGCTGCGGGTAGTCCCGCCTCAGCTGCTCGTACTCGGGGATCTGAGCTGGAGCCTGCGGCAGGTGGGCGCCCCGAGGCTGGAAGCCGTTCTCGTTGGCCACGTAGCTGACCTGGTACGTGTTGCCGTCGTTGCCGACAAACTCGTAGCTGCCCTCCATGGAGATACTGCCGGTCTCTGGCTCGGGTCCTGGCTGCACTCGTCCCACCTCTTGCATCTGGAAGAAGCGATCAATGCGTTACACCACACTGTACAGGAAACTCTGCTGACACCGTGACCACACGTCAATGCCTTGATACTCTTCATTGTACCATTCGGTCACAATCCTTAATTTTGCAAATGCAGGACCACGAGCGTTAGGGTGCGAGAAGCAATTGTCGAAGGATGTTCGGGTCTAGCATCACCGTAGCCCAGTACATGACGTGTTTTACACTTGAACACCAGGATGGCAGAGAGGGGCCATCCTAGTTTGGCAGTAACTATAGCAGTTTATAGTTGACAGTTTGGTTACCAGTTTTGGCGAAGAGCCCAAACTGATACCTTCGTCTGCAATTGGTCCACAGAAGGATAGGCGGTTAAAGACGCACGATAAAGCATGGTTGCTGGTAGCACTGATCCATGCAAGATGTCCATTTTCAACTGTTGAATAAATTGTGTGCTAATGTTATCATCACACATCTTTCTCACCCGCTGTCCGTTGTCCTGTTCGTAGCTGTACTCGTAGTTCCCCACTTGATCTTGATCGGACTTCTGACTAAGGATCCGCACTTCCGGCTGGCCACTGCTGACAAACTGTTGGTTGTTGAAGTCCTGGTTGAAATCACTGAACTGCGGAGCGGCCGCAGCAGCGGCCACCAGAAGGGCGAATACGAACTGGAAAGGTGAGATAATGCATTAAGGAAGAGTTTGCTGACAACAAACTGAAAACATTGGCCGTGTTGAGCAAGACAAAAATGACATTCTTTTCCTCTTCCGAACACAAACAGCGAACTGACATTTCAAAGCACGTGTTTTCAACCCTGGGAACTCACGAACTGCCTAAAACCTGTCACTGACGCCTTATACAAAACATAAGCCTCAACTTCCATGTAAATTCACACCAGCTGCAGCGACAAACAGTCCACTCAGATTGCGTTACAAACAATACATAAAGCACATTCTGCGCAATACGCACTTCACACATTTTCCACGAAGCAGCAGCTATGTGGAGCAAGTCACAAGAAAGGTGCATGTACACACTGTATGGACCTAATAGCATCTGAACATCGCTAAGGTCCTCGCCATAGCGCTCCCTGCAGGAGCGCCCGCCTGTCTGAGGCGCCAGCGTACTTACCATCTGCATGGTTGTGCGTCGAAGAGTGCTGGTCTGTGGTGGCCACCTGTCGGCTTATATCGCTCTCGTCTGTAGCCTGCGGCTCGGCGCCGTGGCCTTCGTCCACGCGCCGTCCGGCCGACCCGGGCTCTGGTATCAGTGGTTGGACCGATGGGCTGCAGGGAGGTCAGCTTTGACCTGGCGATGGTCCGCACTGGGGAGGGGAGTTGACCTGACCTGTCGGAAACGAAATGAAATGGCTGTTAGTCCTATGAAGCAGTGAAGCCTAGACTCTTGAAGAGCACTTCGCTCCCGAAGACAAATATTGAATGGATGGGCTTGCACATGGCGCCAAAACTATTTTCTAGCGCGACGGAAAAACTATCACGCAGTTTGTATTGTTGTATAGGTCTCATGTGAGAGCTGCTCAATGTCTTCCCCTTCTTTCATGTGTATTACGTAGAAGTAAGGCGTTGGACGATGGAAAGGAGGCATAAACAATGATGCGGTTTTCTCTGCGTTAGCCTTGTGGATTAAACATTTCCAAGTTAATATTCGATTTGCGTAGCCCGGAATGCATAAAATATATCTTATTAATGTATAGAATGTATAGGGTATCGATATACGGAATGTGTGGAATACATTCCTGGAGTGGTTAAAAATATATATTTAGGAGGATAACACCTCTGATAGACCTTAATTTCCTTATTGGAAATTGAACGCGCCATTGAAGCCATGCTTTAGTCGTGTATTTAGTGTGCTCTCACCTGCTCCAAATGCACCAACATGAGCCTTGCGCTTAGAATGCAGTTGTTCATACCAGCACGCAATGGCTTCGTCACTAACCTACAACTTCCACATCACGTGGAATGCTGTGATTTCACGCCACCCTTCGCTATCTCAGGATTTTATGGACTGTCTATTGCCAGACAGACATGAAAAAACACCATACGATATCCTATGCGATTGAAGGCGGCATTCACGAGGACCACCTCGGTCAAGATCCGCGCTCCTATCAGGTCAGCGATCACTTGTATCTCGCTGTTGCTGCTGGCTTGCCAAGAAATCAAGATCTGGACGGGGTCGCTGGCACTGTATCGCTGGTTGTCACATCACCCGGTTCCCTAAGGCGGGCATAAAACCACGAATTAAACGTCTGGTATGAATGTGTTTAAAGGTGAGGACTATTGGCCAATTCAGGTCAGTGGCCTATGAAGACTGTTTGGTGTAATAGTACCACCTGCACGTCGAAACACGAGGACGTGTCGTCCAAGTGGCTGACAAAGCCACCCAGTTATGCAATCCGCTTGATCATGGGCTACGAACACTCAAAACCAAAAGACTAGTATAAAAGAGTGACCACGGCCAAATCAAATCGCCACGCGTTTGCCAGAACGCAAGTCCCTGGAAAGGCGAGCAAAGAAATATGAAAACCACATGTCAGAAGGCTTTAAAAGAGAGCCGTGTTAAACAAATGCTATGTTTAACCACGTTTTGGTCGGACATTCCGTCGATAAAAACAGTCTACGCCAGTGACTGGCATGCCCTAGACGCTTGAAATTTGCGTCAATGCTGCTATGAACGTTGCCGAATATCAGTATACAAGCCAGCGCATCCATATACGAATGCGGTTCCCAAATTTCAGATGAGAAAGGCTGCTATGAGCTAGCTTAATGGTGGCTCTCCAGACTGGTTAAATACGGTTAATGTCAACACTGGCCAATGGGGGGGGGGGGGGGGGGGGAGGGGGCAGAGGGCCGAAAGAAGGGTGCTGGCTTCAAGGGACCGTGCGCATGTTTTCACTGAGAGTTATTGCTGTGTCTTACAGTTTTAGTACGTAGAAACAAGCTCCATCCATGCTTGAGTTATTTCACCTTTCGTGTAGTTAGTCATTTTTCTTATAACCACCAATTACCAGAAAACGATTTAGAGGGGTCGTTATTTCTATGGATTTAAGGTCTGAAATCCAACGCGGGGCTGCTGGGAACAAGGCACCTCAGATGCACGGATGTATTAGCAGGAACATCCAATACAGGGTTAGGAATGTTGTCAAAATGTTGCACTTAGCCTATGTCAGGCCACACCTAGAGTATTGTATACCGGATTGGTGCCCATGCTCCCAAAAAGGTGTCAGCAGACTGGGAATAGTACAGCAAAAAGGAATGGGGATGATAAATGTTATTGGGGACTAGAATATAAGGAGAGGCTCAGAGCCTATGAACTGTATTTACTCAATTATCTTAGATTTAGAGAGGATCTACTAGACTTGCTCAAGATTGTGAAAGGTATAAAGAAGGTAGATCTTCATTGGAACAATGGAAATTAGAGACACGGAGAAAACCAGTTCCATTTTGCAAAAGGTAGGAGTAGAATTATAAAGACGCAGATGTCGCCTAGTGAAAAAGAGGTAATCCATTGAAATAGGCTGTCAAACGAAGTCATATGAAGTTCCTCTCTCGCAGCATTAAAAGCCAGTTGGGCAAGATCTATCGGTCTAAATATCTCTTTATCGCTAAATTTATGCAGGTCATGTTGTAAAATTAGTGTCGAGGATGTGTGTGGAGACTGATGTAGGCCAACCTCGATGGGTCCTTGTTGGAACGATGGCTCTTTGTTCGTCAGATATCTTCATGTCTTTGTGTCTTTATGTTAATGGGACTGAGCAAAATTGCAAGACTAATATCAAAACTAATTCCGTTTTTGGAATAACACGCTGCTCTTTTATGCCTCGCTAGGCGTGTTAAAATGTTAATAATTCATATGCAGTGAAGCAATGTCTTTGAATAAATTTGCTTTCAACGAAGCAGAATGCGAATGCGTGTAAACAGAACAATGGCGTTGTGTTAGCGTATCTACTAGATGCATTTTTAGAGTGTTATTTCATAACTTCAATATCACTTCTGTTTCACTTAATATTGCGATATCGGTCAACCACGACCATTGTCAAAGCTACGTGATCCGGGCGAGGGACGAGTGAGGGGGCAACAATGCGTCTATTGGGGAAAGCTCTGGAATACAGGCTTACCTTGCAGAGGGTTCCATGTTTGAGGCCTTTTTAACCGCTCCGGGGGGGGGCTCCGGAAGAGCGGCACTGATCCGACTCATGGCTGGCGACCGTTTGCTGACCCCTGGGGATGCGAGGCGTCACGAGAGGCCAGGATGAAACGGTGAGTGAGGAAAGAGGGGCGGATCACCTTATCGTCAGTTGAACACCATCTCACAAAGTGCACAGCCTTCAACCTCAGCTTAGCTGTATCTACTACCCAGCATTGGCTGCGCTCAACACTAGTAGCTGTTTGAAAGGAAGATGTGTTAATGTTGATGACGTGAGGGGTCCCCAACGGAGTCGCAATAAACTTCCCAACATGAGAAGAGACTGCAGCACCCTCGTTGTTCGCGGTTCTATTACCCTTTTTCACAAAATGTTGAGTGCGGTGAGATCGCACCGCATGACAAAACTGCAACACAAATGGTGTTCTGGTGACCTAGAACTTTTTCGTAACTGCCGTGTGGGTAGACAGTATGTAGGCGAATTGTGGGCATACTACATTGTCTCCCATATTTAAATGGCCATTTAAGTTAAGTTTTAGATGCTTCTTGTCCTTACTGCGCTGCCTACGCAGCGTAAAAGAATTTGAACGTTCAATGAAGGCGTCAACTCAACATATAAACTTGATATGACGTCATTCTACCGTCAAGCTGAGTTTCCTCATGAGCTCTGTTTATTAACTGAATTATACAAGTAATTCAGTTCATTATTACAACTTTGAATAATTTTGCCATCGAAAAGGATCAGAATGTGGCAGATATCGCTATCTAAAAACTAATGAAGTCATTACCATCGCTGTATTTACTATCATTTTTATCAGAAATGCGCAGTTTGCCGTCAGAGGCGCAACTTACGGCATGCGGCATTGTCAATCATCGGGGTTGGTGTCTCGGTGGGTTAACCGGACGGATTGTGACGAACTGGTAAGTGTAGGTTAAGTTGAATGCAGCATTCAATGGTTGAGTGGTGTGAATATGAGAAATATGAATAGAAGCTGGCTACGTTCCTTGGCGAATGCATGCGGATAAAGCATACCCCATTTTACACAGGCGTTTGTCCAACGATATTTGCACTGTGTATGGTTGTGAATGGGGCATGGGACTGAACATGCTAAGATCCTGAACTCTCGCTCTTTCATCGTGTGAAGTTGTTCCGTTCATTGCAACTCGCACCTCGCAGTGGAATATCAACGTCAGCACGCAGTGTGGCGAGAGCATGGCTGTGGTATTTCGTTGTTTTATGTTTGAAAAACAATGAAAATCGGCAAGATTTGACAACATTTCGTTGCGGTAGCACCTGAGCCAAATTTAATATTATGCGTGGCTGGGGGAGGGGAGGGGGGGGGGGGCGGGGGCGTGCTTCAAGAGACAGGTGTGCCGGTTGGTTGCTTCAAGAGACAGTGTCCACAAAACATATTGAATTGGTGCCCCATGAAGGCATCGGGTGTGTTTACATGGTGTGTTGATGCACGCAAGTAATACATCATTTGGGAAACCTTTTTGTACAATATGGATACCGAAAACACGTAATACCAATGTGAAGTTTTGACAATATGCGGCTAGATTGGTGTGCCACACTCGCTTTTCAGTGGCATCATTAAAAATAAATTATTGAACCATTTCTGTGTTTGGTGTTGGTATAGGCCTGTTGACTGACAGGAAGGAGGTGCACTATAATTCCCTCAAAGCTTATGGTAGGTAGAGTGCACTTAAACAACACAATCAACAGGCTGCACCTTTAAGATCTGGCTTTTATTTTTCTGGCTGCAATTATGGTGAAGAGGACAGCTCAAGCCATTTATATTTTGTTGGAGACAACCTCCGTATATATGCATGGTTTGTGTAATTAAGGCTATTCAAGATTTATATGGTTTGTTGTTCAGCAATTCAACTTAAAACCTTTTTTATTTCCTTCTATATATGTGTATATATATATGTATATATATATGTATATATATATATATACATATATATATATATATATACATACATATGTATATGCATGTATCATGCACCCGTAAGGCACGTACATATGACGTTAGCGTTTCAACGTATGCGTAGTGCTGTAATAAGACTGCATGACGTGAGAGTCGTATCAAAAAGGCTACTTTCGTTTTCACAGACTTCATCGCTGCACAATACGTAGACCTGTATAGCACAGCTTGTATTTCAACGAAACACAGCACATTTTAGTGGGGGCACCGCGTCCATTGGACTGATGGGAACACTATTTGTACGGGTAACCAATGCGATTCAACGCATCACATATTGCTACACCGGCGTAACGCGACTAAAATGCGGCTTCTCATGACGTCTGGGCGTACACTAGCGCGACACACGCACGATGTTCATGCTTCATCGCCACAAGCCGCGCGCCGGTCCACATGCCGTTCAGGTCAACAGTACGCTTGCTTGACATTCTTCTGGTCTTCTGTTGAATTTGCCAGGTAAATCAATTAAAGAAGAACTGTTGCCCCTGCTGCTGGTCGAACTGTTGCTGGTTGAACTGCTGCTGGTCGTTGACAATAATGCCGGCTCCTCCGTTCTCGGCCCAGAACAGCTGCGGGTAGTCCCGCCTCAGCTGCTCGTACTCGGGGATCTGAGCTGGAGCCTGCGGCAGGTGGGCACCCTGAGGCTGGAAGCCGTTCTCGTTGGCCACGTAGCTGACCTGGTACGGTGTTGCCGTCGTTGCCGACAAACTCGTAGCTGCCCTCCATGGAGATACTGCCGGTCTCTGGCTCGGGTCCTGGCTGCACTCGTCCCACCTCTTGCATCTGGAAGAAGCGATCAGTGCGTTACACGACACTGTACAGGAACCTCTGCTGACTACCGTGACCACACGTCAATGCCTTGATACTCTTCATGTACCATTCGGCCACATTCCTGATTGTTTTCAAATGCAGGACCACGAGCGCTAGGGTACGAGAAGCAATTGTCGAAGGATGTTGTGGCCTAGCGTCATCGTAGCCCAGTTCATGAAGTGCTCTACAGTTGAACACTGGGATGGCAGAGAGGGGCCATCCTAGTTTGGCAGTAACTATGACAGTTTATAGTTGGCCAGTTTGGTTACTAGTTTTGGCGAAGAGCCCGAACTGATACCTTCGTTTGCAATTGGTCCACAGGATAAGGGGTTAAAGATGCACGATAAACATGGTTGCTGGCAGCGCTGATCCATGCAATATATCTTTTTTCAATTGTTGAATACATTGTGTGCTTATATTATCATCACACATCTTTCTCACCCGCTGTCCGTTGTCCTGTTCGTAGCTGTACTCGTAGTTCCCCACTTGATCTTGATCGGACTTCTGACTAAGGATCCGCACTTCCGGCTGGCCGCTGCTGACAAACTGTTGGCTGTTGAAGTCCTGGTTGAAATCACTGAACTGCGGAGCGGCCGCAGCAGCGGCCACCAGAAGGGCGACTACGAACTGGAAAGATGAGATAATGCATTAAGCAAAAGTTTGCTGACAAGCAAATTGAAAACATTGGCCAAGATGAGCAAGACAAAAATGACATTCTTTTCTTCTTCCGAACACGAACAGCGAAACGACATTTAAAACACGTGTTTTCAACCCTAGGAATCACGAACTGACTAAAATCTGTCACTGACGCCCTATACAAAACATAAGCCTCAACTTCTATGCATGTTCACACCAGCTGCAGCGACAAACAGTCCACTCAGATTGCGTTACCAACAATACATAAAGCACATTCTGCACAATACCCACTCCACAAATTTCCCGCGAAGCAGCAGTTATGTGGAGCAAGTTGCAAGAAAGGTGCATGCACACACTGTATGGACCCAACAGCATCCGACCATCGCTAAGGTCCTCACCATAGTGCTCCCTTCAAGAGCGCTCCCCTTTCCGAGGCGCGAGCGTACTTACCAGCTGCATGGTTGTGCGTCGAGGAGTGCTGGTCTGCGGTGGGCACCTGTCGGCTTATATCGCTCTCGTCTGTAGCCTGCGGCTCGGCGCCGTGGCCTTCGTCCACGCGCCGGCCGGCCGACCCGGGCTCTGGTATCAGTGATTGGACCGATGGGCTGCAGGGAGGTCAGCTGTGACCTGGCGATGGTCCGCACTGGGGAGGGGAGTTGACCTGACCTGTCGGAAGCGAAATGAAATGGCAGTTAGTCCTATGAAGCAGTGAAACGCAGACTGTTGAAATACACTTTGCTCCCGAAGACAAATATTCAATGGATGGGATTGCACATGGCCCAAATTGTTGCTGGGCACGCGACTCCTTTCTAGCGCGACGAAAAGACTATTACGCAGCTTGTATTGTTGTATAGGTCTCATGTGAGAGCTGCTCAATGTCATCCCCTTCTTGCATGTGTATTACGTAAAAGCAAGGCATTAGACGATGGTAAAAGGCGCAAACAGTGATGCAGTTTTCTCTGCATTAGGATTCTGCATTAAACATTTTCCATGTTAATATTCGATTTGCGTAGCCTGGAGTGTATAGAATATATCTTATTAATGTATAGAATGTATAGAATATTAATGTAGGAAATGTATAGACTACATTGGTAGAATTGTTGAAAATACATTTTAGAAGGCTAACACCCCTGATAGACCTTAATTTCCTGATTGCAAATTCAACGTACCATAGAAGCCAAGCTTTAGTCGTGTATTTATCGTACTCTCACCTGCTCCAAATGTACCAACATGAGCGTTGCGCTGATAATTCAATTGTTCATCCCAGCACGGAATGGCTTCGTCACCATCCTACAACTTCCATATCACGTGGCACGCTGTGATTTCACGCAACCCCTCGAAAACTCAGTATTATATGGACTATAGATTGCCAGACAGACGTAAAAATCACCATCCGATATCCTATGCGATTGAAGGCGGCATTCACGGGGACCACTTTGGACAAGATCCGCGCTCCTATCGGGTCAGCGATCACTCGTAACTCGCTGTTGCTGCTGGCTTGCCACGAAACCAAGATATGGGTGGGAGCGCTGGCACTGGATCGCTGGTTGTCACAGCACCCGGTTCTCTAAGGCGGGCATAAAACCACGAATTAAACGTCTGGTGTGAATGTGTTTAAAGGTGAGGACTACTGCCCAATTGAGGTCAGTGGCCTATGAAGACTGTTTGGTGTAGTAGTACCACCTGCATGTCGAAACACGAGGACGTGTCGTCCAAGTGGCTGACAAAGCCACCCAGTTATGCAACCCGCTTGATCATGGGCTACGAACACTTCAAACCGAAAGACCAGTATAAAAGAGTGACCACGTTCAAATCAAAACGCCACGTGTGTGCCAGGGCGAAAGTCCCTGAAACGGTGAGCAAAGAAATAAGAAAATCACATGTCAGAAGGCTCTTAAAAAGAGCAGCGTTGAACAAATGCCATGTTCAACCACGTTTTGGTCGGACATTCCGTCGATTAAAAACTATCTACGTCAGTGACTGGCATGCCCCTAGACGCTTGAAATTTAGGCCAATGCTGCCATGAGCGTTGCATAATATCAGCATACAAGCAAGCGCATCATATATGAAGGTGGTCCCCAACTTTCATATAAGGAAGGCGGCAGGGAGCTAGCTTAATGATGGTTTTCTAGGCTGGTTAAATACGGTTAGTGTCAACACTGGCCAGTGGGGGGGGGGGGGAGGGGAGGGGGCAGGGGGCTGAAAGGAGGGTGCTGGCCTCAAGGGACCGTGATCATGTTTTCACTGCGAGTTATTACTGTGTCTGACAGTCTTAGTACGTAGGAACAAGTTCCATACATGCTGAGTTATCGCACCTTCCATGGAGTTAGTCATTTTTCTCATAACCACCAATTACCAGAAAGCGGCTTAGGGGTCGTTATTTCTACGGATTTGAAGTGTGAACCGCAACGCGGGGCTGCTAGGAGCAAGGCACCTCAGGTGCACCGGACGTATTAGCAGGAATATCCATTACAAGGTTAGCAATGTTTTCAAAATATTGCACTTAGTTATGTCAGACCGCACCCAGAGTATTGTGTACCGGCTTGGTCCCCATGCCCCCAAAAATATGTCAGAAGACTGGGAGTAGTACAGCAAAAGGAATGGGGATGGTAAATGTTGTTGGCGACTAGAATATAAGGAGAGGCTCAGAAACTTGGAGCTGTATTTGCTGAAATATCTTAGATTTAGAGGGGATTTAATAGACTTGCTCAAATTATGAAAGGTATAGAGAAGGTAGATGTTCATGGAACAATGAAAATTAGACCGAGACATAGAGGAAACCAGTTTCATTTGGCAAAAGGTAGAAGTAGAATTATAAAGACGCAGATGTCGCTTAGTGAAAAAGAGATAATTCATTGAAACAGGCCGTCACACGAAGTCGTGTAAAGTTGCTCTCCCGCAACATTAAAAACTATTCGGACAAGATCTATTGGTCTAAGTATCTCATTTATAGCTAGATTATGCAGGTCAGGTTGTAAACTTTGTTTCGAGGATGTGTGCGGAACTAATGTAGGCCAACCTTGATGGGTCCTTGTAGGCTCTTTGCTCGCCAGATATCTCCATGTCTTTGTGTCTTTATGTGAACGGGACTGAGCAAAATTGCAAGACTGATATCAAAACTAATTCTGTTTTTGGAATAACACGCTGCACTTTTATGTTTTGATAGGCGTGTTAAAATGTCAATAATCCATATTCAGTGAAGCAATCTCTGTGAATAAATTTGCTTTCAACGAAGCAGAATTCGAATGCGTGTGAACAGAACAATGGCGTTGTGTTTGCATATCTACCGGCTGCGTTTTTTAGAGTGCTATTTCATAACTTCACTATCACTTCTGTTTCATTTAACTATAGCGGTATTGGCTAGCAATGACCATTGTCAAAGCTGCGTGATCAGGGGGAGGGATGAGTAAGGGGGCAATGATGCGTCTATTTGGGAAAGCTCCAGAATACAGGCTTACCTTGCAAAGGGTTCCTTGATTAAGGCTTTTTTAACGGGTCCGGAGGGGCTCCCGAAGAACGGCACTGATCCGACTCATGGCTGGCGACCGTATGTTGACCTCCTGGCGAGACGAGGCGTTACGAGAGGCCAGGATGAAACGGTGGGTGTAGGCAGGAGGGGCGGATTACTTTATCGTCAGTTGAACACCATCTCACAAAGTGCACAGCCTTCAACCTCAGCTCAGCTATATCTACAACCCAGAATTGGCTGCGCTCAACACTAGTAGCTGTTTGAAAGGAAGATGCGTTAATGTTGATAACGTGAGGGGCTCTCGAACGGAGTCTTAATAAACTTGCCCATCATGAGAAGAGGCTGAAACACTCTCGTTGTTGGAGATTCTATTGTCCTTTTTCACTAAAATGTTGTGTGCTGTGAGATCACACCGCATGACAAGACTGCAAGACAAGAAGGTGTTTTGGAGGCCTGGATCTTTTTCGGAACTGCCGTGTGGGTAGACAGTATCTGGGCGATTTGTGGGTACACTACGTTGTCTCCCATCTTTAAATGGTCATTTGAGTTCACGTTTTAGATGCTTCTTGTCCTTTCTGCGCTGCCTACGCAGCGTAAAAGAAGCTGAACGTTCAATGAAGGTGTTAACTCAATATATAAACTTGATATGACGTCATTCTACCATCAAGCTGAGTTCCCGCATCAGGTCTGCGTATAAAATGAATAATACAAGTAATTCAGTTCATTATTATAACTTTGAATAATTTTGCCGTCGAGAAGGATCAGAACGTGGCAGACATCGCTATCTAAAAACTAATTAAGTCATTATCATCGTTGTACTTGCTTTCGTTCTTATCAGAGGTGCGCGGTTTGCCGTCACATGCGCCATTCACGACATGCGGCATTGTCAGTCATCTGTCATCTGTCAATTTACACAGGTGTATGTCCAACGATATTTGTACTGTGTATGGTTGTAAATGGGGCATGTGACCGAAGATGCTAAGATCCTATACTCTTGCAATTTCATCGTGTGAAGTTGTTCCGTTCATTGCAACTCGCGCCTCATAGTGGAATATCAACGTCACTCCGCAGTATGACGACAGCATTGCCGTGGCATTTCGTTATGTTATGTTTGAAAGACACTAAAAATCGGCAAGATTTGACAATATTTCGTTGCGGTAGCACCTGAGTCAAATATAATCTTACGCAAGGGGAGGGGGGGGGGGGGGGGGTGTTTCAAGGGACAGGTGGGCTGGTTGGTTGATTCAAAAGACAATTCCCACTAGATAGATTGAATTGGTGTCCCATGAAAACATCGGGTGTGCTTACATGGTGTGTTGATGCACGCAAGTAATGCATGATTTGGGAAACCCTTTTGTACAGTATGGATACCGGAAACATGTAGTATCAATATGAAGTTTTCACAATATGCGGCAAGGTTTATGTGCCACACCCACCTTTTCAGTGACATCAGTAAAAATAAATTATTGAACCATTCCTGTGTTTGGTGTTGGCATAAGCCTATCGACTGACAGGAAGGAGGTACACAACAAGTCCCCCAAAGCTTATGGTAGGTAAAGTCCACTTAAGTATAACAATCAACAAGCTGCACATTTAAGATCTAACTTCCCTTTCCCTGGCTACAAATATGGTGAAGCTCAGCTCTTTATGGAGCACTCAGGCCATTTTTATTTTGTGGATGACAACCTCTATATATATGCATGGTTTGTGTAATTAATGCTATTTAAGATTTACATGTTTTCTTGTTCAGCAACTCAACTCATAGCCTTTTTTCATTTCCTTCTATACGTGCATATATATATATATATAGTATATATATATATATGCATATATATATATATATATATATATACATATATATACAATGTATCTGTGAGGGACGTGGTATGACGTTAGCATTTCAACGCATGTGTAGAGTTTTCAGGAGACTGCATGACGTGAGAGTCGTATCTAGGAAGCTACTCTCGTTTTTACAGATTTCATCGCTGCACAACATGCAGACCTGCATGACATAGCTTGTTATTTCAACGAGACATAGCACATTTGAGTGAGGGCATCACGTCCATTGGACTGATGGGAACACTATTTGTACGGGTAACTAATGCGATTCAAGGCATCACATATTGCTACACCGGCCGTAACGCGACTCTAAAATGCGGCTTCTCATGAAGTCTGGACACAGCCAACGCGCCACACGCACGATGTTCATGCTTCATCGACACAAGCCGCGCTCCGAACCACATGCTTTTCAAGTCCACAGTACGCTTGCTTGACATTCTTCTGGTCTTCAGTTGACTTTGCCAGGTGAATTAATTAAAGAAGAACTGTTGCCCCTGCTGGTCGAACTGTTGCTGGTTGAACTGCTGCTGGTCGCTGACAATGATGCCGGCTCCTCCGTTCTCGGCCCAGAACAACTGCGGGTAGTCCCGCCTCAGCTGCTCGTACTCAGGAATCTGAGCTGGAGCCTGCGGCAGGTGGGCGCCCTGAGGCTGGAAGCCGTTCTCGTCGGCCACGTAGCTGACCTGGTAGGTGTTGCCGTCGTTGCCGACAAACTCGTAGCTGCCCTCCATGGAGATACTGCCGGTCTCTGGCTCGGGTCCTGGCTGCACTCGCCCCACCTCTTGCATCTGGAAGAAGCCACCAACGCGTTACATCATACTTTACAGGAACCTCTGCTGATGACTCCGTGACCACACGTCAATGCCTTGATACTCTTCATTGTACCATTCGGCCACGTTCCTGATTTTTTTTTTCAAATGCAGGACCAAGAGCGTTAGGGTGCGAGAAGCAATTGTCGGACGATGTTGTGGTCTAGCGTCACCGTAGCACAGTTCATGAAATGCTTTATACTTGGACACTAGAGTGGTAGAGAGGTGCCATCCTAGTTGGCAGTAACTATGGCAGTTTATAGTTGGCAGTTTGGTTACTAGTTTTGGCGAAGAGCCAAAACTGGTACCTTCGTCTGCCATTGGTCCACAGAGGGACGGGGTGTTAAAGATGCAAGATAAAGTATGTTTACCGGTAGCACTGATCCATGCAATATATCTTTTTTCAATTAATGAATACATTGTGTGCTTATGTTGTCATCACACATCCTCCTCACCCGCTGTCCGTTGTCCTGTTCGTAGCTGTATTCGTAGTTGCCGACTTGATCTTGATCGGACTTCTGACTAAGGATCCGCACTTCCGGCTGGCCACTGCTGACAAATTGTTGGCTGTTGAAGTCCTGGTTGAAATCACTGAACTGCGGAGCGGCCGCAGCAGCGGCCACCAGAAGGGCGAATACGAACTGGAAAGGTGATATAATGCATTAAGCAAAAGTTTGCTGACAGCAAACTGAAAACATTGGCCAAGTTGAGCAAGACAAATGATATTCTTTTCTTCTTCCGAACACGAACAGCGAAATGACACTTCAAAACACGTGTTTTCAACCCTAGGAACTCGCGAACTGCCTAAAATCTGTCACTGACGCCCTATACAAAACATAAGCGTCAACTTCTATGTAAGTTCACACCAGCTGTGGGCGACAAAACAGTCCACACATATTGCGTTGCCAACAATACATATAGCACATTCTGCGCAATACGCCCTCCACACATTCCCCGCGAAGCAGCAGCTATGTGGAGCAAGTCGCAAAAAAGGTGCATGTACACACTTCATGGACCTAGCAGCATCCGACCATCGCTAAGGTCCTCGCCATAGCGCTCCCTCCAAGAGGGCCCCCTGTCCGAGGCGAGAGCGTACTTACCATCTGCATGGTTGGTGCGTCGAAGAGTGCTGGTCTGCGGTGGCCACCTGTCGGCTTATATCGCTCTCGTCTGTAGCCTGCGGCTCGGCGCCGTGGCCTTCGTCCACGCGCCGTCCGGCCGACCCGGGCTCTGGTATCAGTGATTGGACCGATGGGCTGCAGGGAGGTCAGCTGTGACCTGGCGATGGTCCGCGCTGAGGAGGGAAGTTGACCTGACCTGTCGGAAACGAAATGAAATGGCAGTTAGTTCTATGAAGCAGTGAAGCCTAGACTCTTGTAAAGCACTTCGCTCCCGAAGACACATATTGAATGGATGGGCTTGCACATGGCTCCAATTGTTGATGGGCATGCAGCTCCTTTCTAGCGCGATGAAAAAGCTATCACCCAGTTTGTATTGTTGTATAGGTCTCATGTGAGAGCTGTTCAATGTATTCTCTTCTTGCATGTGTATTACGTAAAAGAAAAGCGTTAGACGATGGTAAAAAGGCGCAAACAATGATGCGGCTTTCTATGCATTGGTGCGGCGCCATGGCCTTCGTCCAAGCGCCGGCCGGCCGACCCGGGCTCTGGTATCAGTGATTGGACCGATGGGCTGCAGGGAGGTCAGCTGTGACCTGGCGATGGTCTGCACTGGGGAGGGGAGTTGACCTGACCTGTCGGAAGCGAAATGAAATGGCAGTTAGTCCTATGAAGCAGTGAAACGCAGACTGATACAGGAACTTTGCTCCCGAAGGCAAATACTGAATGGATGGGCTTGCACATGGCTGCAATTGTTGGTGGGCATGCAGCTCCTTTCTAGCGCGATGAAAAAGCTATCACCCAGTTTGCATTGTTGTATAGGTCTCATGTGAGAGCTGTTCAATGTGTTCCCTTCTTGCATGTGTATTATGTAAAAGTAAGGCGTTAGACGATGGTAAAAAGGCGCAAACAATGATGCGGCTTTCTATGCATTAGCATTGTGCATTAAACACTTTCTAAGTTCATATTCGACTTGCGTAGCCTGGAATGTATAGAATATATCTTATTAATGTATAGAATGCATAGAATATTTATATATGCAATGCGTAGAATATATTTCTAGAATGGTTACGAATACTTTTTAGGAGGCTAACACCCCTGATAGACCTTAATTTCCTGATTGCAAAGTGAACGTGCCACTGAAGCCATGCTTTAGTCGTGTATTTAAACCAGCTTCAAATGTACCAATATGAGTGTTGCGCTTATAATTCAACTGTTCATCCCAGCACGGAATGGCTTCGTCACCAACCTATAACTTCCATATCACTGGCATGCTGTGATTTCACGCCATCCTTCGCAATCTCAGGATTATATGGACTATATATTGCCAGACAGGCTTGAAAAAAACATCATCTGATATCCTATGCGATTGAAGGCGGTATTCACGAGGACCACTTCGGTCAAGATCCACGCTCCTATCGGGTCAGCGATCACTCGTAACTCGCTGCTGCTGCTGGCTTGCAAAGAAACCAAGATCTGGACGGGAGTGCTGGCATTGGATCACTGGTTGTCACATCGCCCGGTTCCCTAAGACGGGCATAAAACCACGAATTTAACGTCTGGTGTGAATGTGTTTAAAGGTGAGGACTATTGGGCAATTGAGGTCAGTGGGCTATGAAGACTGTTTGGTGTAATAGTACCACCTGCACGTGGAAACACGAGGACGTGTAGTCCAAGTGGCTGATAAAGCCACCCAGTTATGCAATCCGCTTGATCATGGACTGCGAACACTTAAAACCGAAAGACCAGTATAAAAGAGTGACCACGGTCGAATCAAAACGCCACGTGTGTGCCAGAACGCAAGTCCCTGGAACGGTGAGCAAAGAAATAAGAAAACCACATGTCAGAAGGCTCTAAAGGAGAGCAGCGTTGAACAAATGCCATGTTCAACCACGTTTTGGTCGGACATTCCGTCGATAAACACGATCTACACCAGCGACTGGCATAACCCTAGACGCTTGAAATTTAGGCCAATGCTGCTATGAAAGTTGCATAATATCAGTATCCAAGCTAGCGCATCATATACGAAGGTGGTCCACAAATTTCAGATCAGGAAGGCTGCAAGCAGATAGTTCTCCAGGCTGGTTAAATACCGTTAGTGCCAACACCGGCCAGTGTGTGTGTGGGGGGGGGGGGGGGGGAGGCAGGGGGCTGAAAGGAGGGTGCTGGCTTCAAGGGACCGTGCGCATGTTTTCACTGAGAGTTATTGCTGTGTCGTACAGTTTTAGTACGTAGAAACAAGTTCCATCCATGCTTGATTAATCACACCTTTCATGAAGTTAGTCATTTTTCTCATAACGACCAACTACCAGAAAGCGGCTTAGGGGTCGTTATTTTCTGCGGATTTGAAGGCTGAACTGCAACGCGGGGCTGCTAGGAGCAAGGCACCTCAGGTGCACCGGCGTATTAGCAGGAATATCCATTGCAAGGCTAGGAATGCTTTCAAAATATTGCACTTAGTTATGCCAGACCGCACCTAGAGTGTTGTGTACCGGCTTGGTCCCCATACTCCCAAAAAGATGTCACAACGTTGGGAAAAGTACAGCAAAAAGGAATGGGGATGATTAATTTACTGGCGATTAGAATACAAGGAGAGGCTCGGGGCCTAGGAACTGCATTCACTCAGCTATCTTAGATTTAGAGGGGATCCACTAGACTTGCTCAAGATTATGAAAGGTATAGAAAACGTAGATCTTCATGGAACAATGAAAATTAGAGACATAGAGGAAACCAGTTCCATTTGGCAAAAGGTAGGGGTAGAATTATAAAAACGAAGATGTCACTTAGTGAAAGAGAGGAAATCAAATTGAAATAGGCCGTCAAACGAAGTCGCATGAAGGTCCTCTCTCGCAATATTAAAAACCATTTGGGGAAGATCTATCGGTCTAAGTATCTCATTTATAGCTAGATTTATGCAGGTCAGGTTGTAAAATTAGTTTCGAGGATGTGTGCGGAACCTGATGTAGGCCATCCTCGATGGGTCCTTGTTGGCTCGATGGCTCTTGTTCGTCAGATATTTTCATGTCTTTGTGTCTTTATTTTAATGGGACTGAGCAAAATTGCAAGACTGATATCAAAACTAGTTTTGTTTTTGGAATAACACGCTGCTCCTTTATGCCTCGCTAGGCGTGTTAAAATGTCATTAATCCGTATTCAGTGAAGCAATCTCTGTGAATAAATTTGCTTTCAACGAAGCAGAATTCGAATGCGTGTAAACACAACAATGGACGTTGTGTTTATACATCTACTGGATGCGTTTTTTAGAGCGCTATTTCATAACTTCACTATTACTTCTGTTTTATTTAACTATAGCGGTATCGGCCAGCAATGACCATTGTCAAAGCTACGTGATCACGGCGAGGGATGAGTGAAGGGGGCAACAATGCGTCTATTTGGGAAAGCTCCGGAATACAGGCTTACCTTGCAAAGGGTTCCTTGATTAAGGCTTTTTTTAACGGGTCCGGAGGGGCTCCCGAAGAGCGGCACTGATCCAACTCATGGCTGGCGACCGTTTGCTGACCCCCTGGGGAGACGAGGCGTCACGAGAGGCCAGGATAAAAAGGTGAGTGAGGCAGGACGGGCGGATTACTTCATCGTCAGTTGAACACCATCTCACAAAGTGCACAACCTTCAACCTCAGCTTAGCTATATCTACTGCCCAGTATTGGCTGCGTTCAGCACCAGCAGCTTTTTCAAAGGAAGATGTGTTAATGTTGATAACGTGAGGGGTCCCGAACGGAGTCGTAATAAACTTGCCCATCATGAGAAGAGACTGAAACACTCTCGTTGTTCGAGATTCTATTATCCTTTTTCATAAAATGTTGAGTGCTGTGAGATCACACCGCACGACAAGAATGCAAGACAAGAATGTGTTTTGGAGGCCTGGATCTTTTTCGGAACTGCCGTGTGGGTAGGCAGTATCTGGGCGATTTGTGGGTACACTACATTGTCTCCCATCTTTAAATGGTCACTTGAGTTCAGTTTTAGATGCTTCTTGTCATTTCTGCGCTGCCTACGCAGCGTAAAAGAAGCTGAACGTTCAATGAAGGTGTTAACTCAACATATAAACTTGATATGACGTCATTCTACCATCAAGCTGAGTTTCCGCATCAGGTCTGCGTACGAAATGAATAATACAAGTAATTCAGTTCATTATTATAACTTTGAATAATTTTGCCGTCGAGAACGATCAGAACGTGGCAGACATCGCTATCTAAAAGCTAATTAAGTCATTATCATCGTTGTACTTGCTTTCGTTCTTATCAGAGGTGCGCGATTTGCCGTCATATGCGCCATTACGACATGCGGCATTGTCAGTCATCTGTCATCTGTCAATTTTACACAGGTGTATGTCCAACGATATTTGTACTGTGTATGGTTGTAACGGGGCACGGACCGAAGATGCCAAGATCCTAAACTCTTGCAATCTCATCGTGTGAAGTTGTTCCGTTTATTGCAACTCGCACCTCACAGTGGAATATCAACGTCAGCCCGCAGTATAACGACAGCATTGCCGTGGCATTTCGTTATTTTATGTTTGAAAGACACTAAAAATCGGCAAGATTTGACAATCTTTCGTTGCGGTAGCACCTGAGTCAAATATAATCTTATGCAAGGGGAGGGGGGGGGGGGGGGGGCGGGGTGCTTCAAGGGACAGGTGGGCTGGTTGGTTGATTCAAAAGACAATTCCCACTAGATAGATTGAATTGGTGTCCCATGCAAACATCGGGTGTGCTAACATGGTGTGTTGATGCACCCAAGTAATGCATGATTTGGAAAACCTTTTTGTACAGTATGGATACCGGAAACATGTAGTACCAATATGAAGTTTTCACAATATGCGGCAAGGTTTATGTGCCACACCCACCTTTTCAGTGGCATCAGTAAAAATAAATTATTGAACCATTCCTGTGCTTGGTGTTGGCATAAGCCTATCGACTGACAGGAAGGAGGTACACTACAAGTCCGCCAAAGCTTATGGTAGGTAAAGT